AGGAGATTTATGATTAGCTCTCGATTTGTTTTTGTCACGCTTTGTCTCCTTTTATTCATCGTTTTTCTTCTTCACCTTTGAAATTTAGTGAGCAGTTTCCTTTTCGCTTACTTTAGCCTTCGGCTCTTGAGATTTTCCAGATTCTTGTCGTTTACAACTCGTATTTCTGCAAGATCTTCACATCTGCTAGTATTACAGTACAGACAGAACTTACATACATGCAAACTGTAAACGGTGAAACCTCTAAATGAAATTTGTTTCATAAAAGTAGCACTTAGTGACATCTGCGAAAAATAATTAAACAGGTAATTATTGAAACTGAGAAAAACTTTACCTTCTTCAATTTTATATCGGTTATTTATTACAATAAAAAAGCAATTAAATAAAAAAATGGAAAAAATTGTAAAATAGAACTGATCGATATTATTTATTTATGTTTACAAATTGTTTTCAGTCCTCTTTTTCAGTTTTCAAAATGTGTAAAAAAAGCTGAAAATTGAAATGCTAAATAAAAGAAATTTAAATTGCTTTCTTCAGAAAAATACAACTTTTTTTGTTATTTTAAAAAAATTTGTAGTAATTGTTTTACTGCAGCATTTTCTGCTGATGTTAACGGTGCTATGATTACTGTTCAACTAAACCATTTCAAAGAAGAAAATTCAAAAAAAGAATTCTTATTGTTTTGAGCAGATAAATTTTTCTATTTACCAATCCATCAGATTCTTCTGATCAAACCACTTCTTCCACTGTTTCTTCTTTTCTTTCTTCTTCTCTTCTTCTTCCTCTTTCACATTTTCCATTCTCGAGATTTTCATAGCGCTTTTCTTTTATCGCTAAAACCCTATTATCTAAGAACTTGTATTTCAGCCGAACAATCCCATATCAATTCTAATCAGCGAAGTAGTTAGCAGAACAATTTTTATTCCTTCGTATTCCGGCAACATTTGACTGGAGCAGAAGTTCAGAACACGGTTCTGGTTTATCCGCGTTCTACATCAACACTTAATTCTTCTCTTTATCTATATTGCATAACACTTCAGATTTCTTTTCTGCTGGTCTATGGAACAGCTGATCATTCGTTTTTTTCTTTCTTTTTAAACTTTAATAAACTTTGCAAACGGTATTGATGCGGCAGACACAAAAAGTTGTGACCAAATAGCTAAAAAAAGTTTGCAGCGATAACAGTTCTTGAGAGCGATGTGAAAAAACATGAGCAGCAGCACCACATAAGAAAAATCTCGACAAATTAAACTTGGTTTTTTTTTATTACTGTAGAGAATAGGCACAAAAAGTTTGGGATATTATCAACCAATAATTGAAAGAAACTTATTTCACTTCTTTTATGCAAAACGTTAACTAAAAGAGTTTAATCCAGAATTAGAGTGCCGGAAATAGCTGTATGATAACTATTCACAGGAGGTTTTACCAGTTTTCGAGCAAAAAGTAATTCTCCCACCGACAAAAATGTTGCAAAAAAAAGGCTTAATATTTTTCTGTGAGCGTTTGGCAAGATGAAAATTCAATTGCTTAAGGTTTCAGGCAGCCTGATTCTGCTTTACAATCGTTGCAGAGAAATATGTTTTATCAAGTACAACTTAATGAGGATTAACTTCTAGCAACTTCAGATCTTAGACATCGGTAAAACCTATTTGACAAAT